ACTTCTCTTTCTCGCTAGTTTATAACTTTGGATCTAATCCAGACACATCTCCTTTCAATCCAACTGATATTGCTGACTGGTCTAGTCTCATTGGCTGTATTCTTTCAGTGATCCCTGTAACAACACCAATTTCTGGATTATTTTGCCTTCCTTCCCTGCTCCGTGACTGTCTTGGCGCTGACACAACAATTGGTCGCAGAAGGCGAAGTCTAGCAAACACTGTTCGTGAAACTATTCCATATTTCTACGCAATGCACGAGTTTACATTACTTGGCGTTGAAATATTAGGTGATGAGAGGTGGTTAAGACTAGTATCTGATCGACTATGGGTATCAGATGTGTTGCGCCCAGCATTAGGTGACTCCAGCAGTGGAGGGATTATGATTACTAGAGATGAGTTTACTGCAATCACAAGCTTGCCACCACCTCGTAATGCCACAAGGGAAATGGTGGGATCCCTGCTGGAAAGGTTTAATAACACATTCATTGGGTGGGGTAATGGAACACTTGAGCCTCAAAATGGATCCAATATGGTGTCGTACAGTGCAGTTCAAAACTTCACCAGAAATGTGCACACTGCTCATGGACTAATTGGTTTGGGAGAAGAAGAATCGTTTCTTGATTCTTACAATGATGTAATAGAGCAATACAACATGATAGCAGAGGCAGATGAGGATGAAGATGAAGGGGTTTGTGCAGTTGTCAGAATCAGAATAGAGCAAGAAATTGCGTTGACCAGAGATTCCTTTCTGGCTAGACTGGAGATTGAGAACATGGAAGCTACAGAATTACGGAGAATTCAAATGGCCTTTCTCATTACCGATGTTGGCTCAGGAGCAGTGTCCACTCAACTCTTTGTCATAGGGAATGAGACACTGACTGGAACTCTGAGAGACGGAGATGGAGGGATGGATCCTGGCCAGCAGTGAGTCAGGAGCTGCTGAATGGCTCATTGTCCCCCTGTCTGAGGCTGCCCCTACTGAAAACAGAAATTATGACATTGGAGGGTCATTTTCATACGTCTCAAGTGGAGAGAACATCACAATCCCACTCCTGCCCACTAGAATCACGGTAGCCCCAGACCCTTCACTCATCATCCACTACTTTTGGGAGAAGTTTGTGATTGGAGACAACCCATTCACTGACGAAAGAGAGCCCTCAGTACCATTTGCTCTGGGAGTGGCCATCCACAATGGAGGTTATGGGACAGCAATGAACCTGAGGATAACATCAGGTCAGCCAGAGATCATTGAGAATGAGAAGGGACTCTTGGTTACTTTTAAGATTATTGGAACAAGAATCGGAGGTGAAAGTGTGAGTCCCTCACTGACAGTAAACTTTGGAGACATTGAGGCGATGGAGACAAAGGTAGCCCGGTGGCTCCTCATCTCCAGCCTTCAGGGGGAGTTCACAAACTATTCTGCCAGTTTTGAGTACATGAACCCACTAGGTGATCCCAGACTCTCTGTGTTGGACGAACTTGTCATCCACGATCTCATCAGAAATGTGGTCATATATCAGGAAGATGAGAGCGACGGTGTCTTAGACTTTCTAGTGAATGATGCTACTGACTTGTTTGATATTCCAGACGCTTTATACAGCAGCAAGACCTTCACTAGATACAATGTGAGTGAAGGAGCAATCGAATCAATCATTCCTCAAGGTTCTGGTAGTATAGAGGTCCTTGCATCCAGCAACTTCAGTGGTTGGGTCTACTTCAGGTTTGAAGATGTCGGCAGGGTGTTCACTGAAACCAAAGGAAGCATCAATTTCACAAAAGCTGTTGGTGGAGAGGTGACTCGACTACCTCTAGAGAATGCATGGGTTGCTGGGGAGGCTCAGCCAAGTCCAGACGATGTAGATCCATTCTTCTCGCACATTATCGACTACCTGGATGAGGCTGGGGAAGTTGTCTATCTCTTGAACCCATGTGTAACTGATTGTGCCACAGATGAACAAGAATTTGAACCAATTGTTCCTCCTGGTACGTTTCTTGTGTAAGAGAGATTTTATCAAACCAGGTATAATTATACTGTTGTTGTTTAATTCTTATGGCACCCTAAATTTTCCTCGTGAATGGGTATTCTTTCAGATTGCCTGGGCTACAGGTGCCCTGCATTAATGAGTAATTCAATGTGCCTTTCTCCTTCTTTACTATTAGTTCCTCCGATAAATGTGGAGGTGGAGGCAATTGGCTCAACCTGGATCATCCTCTCCTGGGTGCCAGTGGTCACATCTGCCGGTTTGTTGATCCAGCTGGTGCTGGTGAGCGGAGGAGGGACAGAGTACAATGTCACAGTTGATAGCCAGAGAGCGAAGTCCAACATAACCAACTTAAATGCTGGCGTCATGTACTCGATGAGAGTAGTAACTGTGGCAGAAGATGGACAGATGAGTTTTCCCAGTCCCCCTGCACTAACAATGACACAGATTTCATGTAAGTTTGACAGAAATACACACAATGTGATGTGGATACTTTGTTGAATCAAATCTAGTTGACAGACCGCCAGAGAACCTGGCGTTGGAGAGTGCCGGAGTGTCATGGATAGTGGTGTCTTGGTCCCTCTTCCCTGGAGATGTCCTGGCTTCATCCCAGGTCATCCTGGTCAGTGGTGGAGGGACTGAGAGAAACATTACTCTAGAAGGCAATGGGACATCAGTGAATGTGACGGGTCTTCAGTCAGGGACTGAGTACTCATTGAGAGTGATTGCAATAGCCAGTGACGGACAGACAAGTACACCCAGTGCTGTTCTCACTGCCAGCACAGCTGGAACTCTAGGTATATATTATAAGTGCATCTGAAGAAGTAGATAACTGAACTAGCTATAAGGATATTATAGGAGTCAGTGCAAGACTGCATACTAAGTACCACTTTATAACGTCCTTAATTCGCCATATTGTTTTATACCCTGCTCTGCAGTTCCCACAGAAGCTTTTTATGATACTGTAATTGGAGATCCACTGTTCACGGTGGCTGTACAAGAAGATCAGTTCATGTGCTATGAGATTCATGGACATGCTGGAAAGTATTACAACCTCGTTTCAGACACGTGCACCTCCGTTAGTGCTCTTTTTACTGAACTGCCATCTGATCCAAGACGCAATAGAGTGAGTGAAATCGGTATTTACGCAGTGAGCACACACAATACTTGTGCCAAGATCCAAATTAGCCTTGAGAACTGTGCAGGTAATTTGATAGTGAGACAGTCACCTCAACCAATCAACAAAACGGTATCAGTGTGAGACAATACCTCAATCGCTGGCGAGTCTCTGTCCCCAATTGTGACTCCACGCAATCTCTGATAATGTGGATCTTCTGTGACAGTGAACCAGACATGCTGCGATTCCGCATCGCCAGAGGCAACAACTTGGCTCCCACTTCCCATGGACTTCTAGGTAACACACATAAAACACATCATTTCAAATGTGGCTACACTGCATCCAGGCAAAAAGGAGGCATATGTTCACTCACCATATTATCATGGGCTGCATTGTGAAAAACACTGATACACGTGCTCATTATGATTAAATAGATGGGTGCAAGAACTGTGGCATCTACAGAGCACAAACCTATTTCAACTGTCAAATTAGCATTCTGTGCCCATCCTATAGCTTTGGGACACCAATCATAATTAGCATAATTTCTGAGTAGTCTTTTTGCAGAAGGACATTATAAGAATTGTTTGGTAAGTATTTTAGTGGCATCAGAAAATATTACTACTGGATATATAGCACTGAGCTTTTTCTGTGACCTGTTAGAAGTGAAGACATACAAAGCACAGACCCAACCTGGCATTGTGTATACCATGCCACTTGCTAATGTGTAGTTAACACTTCCTAGAAAGAAGAAGACCACTCACTTGATTACAGAGTGTAGACGAACTGTTTTCGGAGCACATTACATGAGAAGTTTTATAGCAAAAGGTGCCTTCAGGGATCCAAATGTACATCATTATCTATTGAACTTAAACCCTTTTGGTGCCATGGGTATCTCCTTAAATTAGCAGTAATTGATGTATAACATATTAAGGCCTAGTATTATAACCCATATATAAATTCTTATGGACTTATAGAGGCTCTGGCCATATATATATATATGCCCGTGGCTTGCTAAGGGTTTAATTAAACTCTCTTACCTCGACTTTATTAGTCAACACCCAGCTTGAGAATCAAACTCAGTTCCCTAGTATAATAGTAGCCACTAGGCAAAGGCTGTAATCGTAATACAAAACCAACCTGATGCACCAAGAGAAGAGCTAACTATAGACTCTCTAGAAGATGGGCAATACTTGCCTTGCCATGTGAAAGGCCAGTAGATATATACCTGGATAGCACTGTCATTTTTATTTCCTCTCCCCAGGTCAATTTTGGAACATTCCAATTACTGCAATAGTTGATGGCGGTGAACATTTTGTGGTCCTATTCAACTCTACGAGTCCTCACTACCGCCGTATACCAGCAGAGCTGGCAGCACTCACCTGGGACCACACCCTGGCTCCCTGCTACTATGTAGGAGACTCTCAGGGTGGGCCCGAAAGATCTAATGACCCCAGAGAGTCTGTCATTGAAGGAAGTGTGGCTCGGTACCAGACATCTTCTCTGTTTGGAACATCATTCTTTTACAGCAAATTTGATGAGTCCCAGTGTAATACTGGCGGAGATTGAATTTACTGCTCCCGAAAATACAACTCTTAAACTGCTAAACTGGTGTGTGTTATTATTATGTTGTTGCTGTGCCTAAAATGCCACATTATAGAGCAGGTCATGCAGTCTAGACTTAGCGAGCCCCACTGGGCAAAACCACTAAGTACGGTAGTAGCTACCTAGTGAAATAGAGATAACATGTAGGTTACCATACATTTGTGATATGCAGCTTTCACTTTCCATCAGTATCACGACTGATACTGGTATCAGTGGTCAAAATAATTATTATGGATGTAGCTACCTACGAATATGGCTTAAATATTATTGTCGTTGTTGTCGTTCAGGTTAGACAAGCATATCTCAAAACCAGGTAAGACGTAGAGATAAAACTCTGCACAGAGTCATGCATGAGCATATTAATTAGACCCGTGCCATCCTTAAACATTATACCAATGGTCTGATATAGCTCACACCAATTATTACATAATAACGACAGCAAGTAAAGGAGACTAAACAGTGATACTTGACAATTCACTACTAGTTTAGGTTGAAAAGTTTAATATGACGTTTGAAATGTTGTTTTGGAACTCTGAGTGCCACTTGTTTGTCGCTATCGTAGATTGATATTACTGGAACATGATCCATCTGAGCATGAAATCTTTTGATAACCTCATCAACTGCTTCTTTCATCAGAGGAGTGTCAGGATGCTGTAAAAGTTACAAAAATTAAACCAATGCATTGGCTACACTTGTAGCCCAGAAGCCATAGAAATCAAAGTGCCGCGTACGCGAGTATACTCTGTACCACTGACTGCACCCGACCGACCACTTCCTGGGGGATATTCATATCCACCGGAGGGTATGAGTAGCTATCCTACCGACGGAGACGGCGAAAGAAGCAAAAACGACGTTATGTGTCGCGGATCTACCGTTCTACACACCATGAAGTAGTCCTAAACCACCACCGAGGTATCGCTTAGGCTGAGCGTCGGTCCTGGGAACCGCGGACGAGCCCTGTAGTACGGTCCACAGCATGCACGATTGCCAACGTGACATTCACTAGCCACGGCGTAGCGGTGTTCCTGGGCTACAAAACTGTTGACCTACGGGCGCTGAAGTGGTACTGAATATACCCTAAGCCGTTTTTCAATACCATCCTCGGGCTCCGCCGTCTGATTGGCTTTTTTATGCAACACTGTGTGGCAGGGTCTACATGATCGAGTTGCTCCCACACGGCCCATCTACGTTCAGGACTGCATGGCAAGGTGCTTGCTCCGCTTGCCAAAAGCCAAATCCAAAGTAATCCAAAGCCCTATTCGTGTGCACACATGGACACACTTCACAAAACAGTTTTGGAGAGGTGGCCAACTGTAGCTATTTTCCCTTGTTACACACATGAAATACTTAGCTTTCACCGACTGCACTGATATCTGCACAGTTTTCACTTCATTTAAACTCACTCTTAACAACTTCCCGATCCGAGAGTCGTAATGTACAATAAAAAGTAGGAGACACTCAGAAAAGAATAGAGATATCGCTTGAATAAACACAAAAGGTATATACAGCCCTGGTTAGTATCTGGCTGGTATTCAGTGCAAGTCTACACCTTCGTTCTTGTGCAGAAACACAGTTGCACCTGGCAATATGTTCCATGTATAGGAATGGTGGTATGGCACTTCCGAACCCTTTAAATCTCAAAGACGCTCGCATTAAAACTTGGAGAGTTCCTTCCACTTAGATGGGAAGTGCTGTTTGATTCGGCTGACCGATTTATCCAGACGTTGGCCCGTTATGGAGGACACATTGTGGAGGTGACTGTGAATGCTATATAGCAACCATTAGAGTAGTTATTGGGCTCTTTTGGCCTGACTTGTTGTGTGAAACGTAGGATTGGCTTACTAAATTCCTAGCTAGCTAGCTATTCCTACTGTGACTGCAGGGCGTTCTTTAGTGGGTGGGTAAGAGACCTGATTACATACTCACGACTAAAGCATACCAGGACCTATATTATCTTCCAGCAGTTAACCCCTTTACTTACCTCAATGATCTCATCCTGCATGACAGTAGGTGGTGGTCCCATTAGATTAATAACAGCACAGAGATCTGGAAATTCATTCACTGATGCCACATCCGATGCTGTCATACCTTCCTATTATAAACAATCAAAAAAAACTCCCATTTTACTGATTAACTAACTTGATTTTTAATCGCTGAATTTGCTCCGTGTTCCATGTGACCTATTACTGTATCCAGATGACCTCCCTTGCAGGCAAACATCAGAGCTGTGTATCCAGTACTCTGCATGAAATTGCCCAGTAATAATATTATGTTGCAAAGGTTTTTCATTGTGATTTTACACATAATGTACACATGTGTGGTGAGTATGGTTCACCATTTTCTTATAAACCCTGTCAGTACGGTGCAAAATTGCCAGGTCTACACAATTTCTCCACATAATAGGACCACCCTGTGATTAAAACCACTTACTATGCTGGATACTAACCAGGCTGTATGTACATGTTTAGTCAAGCGATATTTTGGGAAGGGGATGTCTTGCACACATAAATACATGTGTCAATGGATAGCAGATTCAGAGGAGTCTTGATCGATCAGATTCGAATTGAGGCCTATTCTTGTGTAGGTAGACCACTTTTGACATCCCCTAGCTACATCATCTCATTGTAATACCAGAATGGAGAGAATATTATAGAGATAGCCCCGTAAGTTTAACACTCTAAAAGGGATAATCCCTCACGAGTTAGGCAGGTCTTACTAAAGTCCATTCATGTTCACCTTGCTGCAGGAAGTGAGCAGTCAAAACCTGTTTACGCAAGTACACACATAATTGACATAATACGCATATTTGTGCTGTGTCAAAGCCGCTCTAAGGGACAGCACTCGGCAAAGTTAAACCCTTTGGATGCAATGGGTATCTCCTTAATAAAAAAAAAAATTTGGTGTATAACATATTGACACCTAGTATTATAGCCATATATAAATTCTTATGGACTTATGGAGGCTCTGGGCATATATATATATGTATTATGTGGCTTGCTGAGGGAGAAGGCCCTGGAAGATTTTAGCACATGATGCATAGCACAAACATCACTATGCGTCACGCGTAATATAAATTCTGTGTATAGCTTATGCATCCTTAACTTCGCGCATTGTTCAAAGGTCACGCGTATATATTTGCGATGAGGAGGGAGAAGGCTTTGGATCGAGGCTACTCTGGCAAGCGTGCATTGAACGCTAAATGTAGGCTGCTTCATTAGCGCTGCCGGAAACGCATTGCACGTTGAAACTACGGAATCAAGCTGTAGTATAGCGGAGTTAGAGCGGATTTCCTACTGGCAAGGTGAACGCGAACGGACTTCAATATGCGCTCCCTCATGAATTAAACACATACAATGAGAGATCAAAACTCAACTGATTGCTGAAGGTCAGTATCAGCTTGAGCTTCAAGTAGTAGGTTTGCCATCTCTGAGTTCCCTTCTACACAACACAGCATCAGAGAAGAAAGTCCATTCTGGGTATGTACATGATCATGAAAGTAGAGCTGAAGGCAAGCTCTGTGTGGCAAACCTGGTACATGTGGTCTACGTCCACTCTTGCATTCACTAACTCCCTGACAATTGCCATATTATTCTTCCGTACTGCCAGCAATAGTGGGGTCTGACCAGCCTGCAGGTAATGAAACGGCACCTGTCAGGCCATACAAAGCATATTATGTGCACATTATATTTTGTCTGCCAGTGCAATGCTGAACTACCCATGCACACATATATTTGGACTGGTGCATTTAGGCTATACTGTGAAAAATGATTATTGCTGTCATACCATGATTTGTCACTCCTACAGCTACGCCTATACTTAAAACGCCCCATTGAGGGATCTGGCTGGTATACACGCCCTCAACCCTCTTGTGTGTATACCACTAGATCGCGATAATGGGGTGTTTTGAGTGGTTTATAACCTGTGATCCAGGAGTTTTCATAGCATTGTTCAGACAGCAGCTCTGCTGAACAATGCTGGCGAGCGCACTTATCAAATACTTGCACTGTGGTCCAGATACATGCACTGTGGCTAGTCTGGGGTGGATCTAGCTTGAATAAACGCTCCAAAAGATCAAAGGAAACACCTGGAACCAGGCTATAACTGATTAATAATAAGGGGTACTAGGTGTCCTTAGGAGCACATACACTCACTCAGTACCACAGCAAAACAACTTGCATGTACCAAGACACTAGCAGTGCTGACAGGTACTCAAGGAAGCAGGAACAACAGGTGAACAGAGGACGTGGTAAGGTATCTTTAGTGCATAGCTCATTTGAATCTAGCAATTTGATATGCTTGGTCCTCCAACACAGAAACTTAGTACATTGATGTTAAGAGTTCATAAACAGAAATTACAAGTTTGTTAACAATAAAGCAATAAAAAGGTGTTGGTACACTGATTTAATATGGTGAACGAAGCATGTGTCAACGAGGTGACAACGTAGATAGGCAAGGCAAGCAATAGCCGAGCAGCCTGCCAGGACAGCTCTTTTCAAGAAAAAAGAAGAGCTACCTGCCCAGGGATGCCAAAACAGCTAAGGCCACTAATGCTACATTTGTTTGGGAATTATGCCCTAATTAGTATTGCACACCATGTGTGTGAATGCAGGAAAACAAGTATATAAAAATTTCTTCCAAAATCACTCTAAGTACAGTAGTCTTAGGGATGATCATGCATCATAGATGTATGGGGCTATGATAGGGAAGTTTTGATCATCATCTTCTTCTTCAGATTCAACCCATAACTAAAAAACAGAACAACACTTTTGTAAAAATGCAGATATCCATCACCCGAAGAGATTGGTCATACTTTTTTGTTTGTAAACAATTTTGTTCACTGTAAACAACAACAAATAGCCCCAGATTATACATAATGGATCACATGTGTCAGTATAACTCACAAATTGTAAGAGCTATGTGAACGAAACTTTGTAGGCATAATGTATTTAATCACCAACATCAAAATCATAACAAAACATGTTTGTAAATGAAAAACACTAAAGTGCAAACCCTCGGCGAACTGAACTAAATTGATGGGCTGGGCTATTTGTACTCGTAGTCTCCCGCTAGTAGCTCGCGGAGAGTCTGACACGGGCTAGCTACAGTAGTAGATACATAGCATGCGGGAGTCGATGCATACCATTTGTTGTGACTTCCTGAGCCCCCAAGGTACACAGAGCGAGCGGATCAGGTCGCGGTAAGCCCAATGCTATTATGCATATTGGCTTTTGCGCTTGTCTTCACAGCATATCTCTCGAACGCAGTCGTTTCAGGAAAATTGCCTTTTTAGTTTTAAGGCTCACGTAGTTCTGCAGCCGCTGGTATCGCTAATGGGCCGTCTCGTAGCCTGTAATGCCAGAATAAGCGTCGACACACACACACAGACAGACAGACAGACAGACAAACCAAATACCGTAACCCTCACTGCGCATGTTAACAACAACAAATAGCCTCAGGCACTTTCCTTTAATGTAATTCTTCACTTCTCAAACTCTCTAATGGTAGCACACATAGAGGTGAAACTTGGTACGCATGAGCATTACATCATTTCCATGCCAAATGCTTGTTTCCATGACAACTTGTTTGTAAACAAATAGCCTAAGGCACTTTTCTTTAAAATTACGTCTTCACTCCTCACACTTGCTAGCATGGAGATAAAAACTTGGTTACTTCGTTTCCAGACAACCACAGATTGTTTGAACAACGACAAACTTGCTAACAGGTAGCTGTGTTAGTCCGTTCCTGGCCAATGTCAACAATAGTGAATACAGGGATGGTATAAAATGCAAAGGGACCAGACAGGGATGACTTAGTATATGTGATCCAGTAGTACAATGGATTATTGCTAAATATTCAAACATTAAACTGATGGCTTTTTCTCCATACCCGCCCCATTACACTGTCGCCACCTTTACTAACTGACATGAGTTTGTTTAGTAATTAATGGTGTAAAGTGTGAGGACAATGGTGATAGGATTCTGTTAGAGTGCCAAGAACATAGATTGTAGCTATAACAGGTTACAATGAAGATTGAAGTCTTAGACTGCACACAATGCAGTCACAACTCAAAAATGAGGAGCTACGTATTAGACAAGGTAACACCTGTGCATTTTTCATCTCATGTGCTTAGGAAATGAGTCATTGGCTGTACATGGGACCACACTCATATAGGGCTTGTGTGGAGGAAAACTTACACGAGCAAGCCATGCCAGTTTGAAGATGTAGCCATCATACATATGTTTGAAAAAAGACTGTCTGGACTGCGCTGCTAGCGTGCGTTTTCAGACGGTCTCTAATTATACAGACTGTGGTGTACAGGCAAATGACACATGCTGTCTAACACAACTAACAGTGGAGCCTAGATACATACTCACTATCACTTGCTTTTACACTACGTGCATGCACATACCGATTTTAATAGCTAATTTAACCCTGCAAATAAAAAACATTGGTCATGTTTAGGCACATGACCTCTACACAGTCAGTGTATGTGCTAAGTCAGGCAGGCACAGCGAAAATACTGATGGAATACACATTGGCTCTTTTATGGTTACCTTATTGCAGACATTTGGATGGGCACCAGCGCTCAGAAGGATAGAAACGGTAGTAAAATCATTTCCTCGACAGGCATGTGTCAGTGCTGTATTGTCACCCTGCAGTTTTAATGTTACCATGTGTTGTAAGTGAGCAAGGCAAGTCCATTTTTTAATTTTCACATCCCTTGACCTTAGTGTTCCTTCTACTGAGCTACCAGGATTGCTAGCTCTACAAATGCACAATGCAACGTCAAACCCCAACAATTTTGTATATTATATATAATATACCGATGCGCCCGTATAAAAATCACCAACGCCTCATCCAGACCGCACCCAGACCTTTGGACGAATGTAGAGCTATCTCTAAATTGGCCAGTGAGCTATTGCTAGTGTGTTTTTATACATCGATCATGCCCATACATAGAACGACATTCTCTAATATATACACACATGAAGAAGTGGTGATAGAAGCAAACTTCAAAAAGTGCCAACTTTATATCTTACATCTGTTAACGGTGATATCAAACTATCAATTACAGGATGACCTGTAATACCAACAAAATGCATACATACTTTGCCTTACCCTCTCATTAGACGCCAAATTTTTTTCCTTTCCTTTCTACCTTTCTTCCTCTCCTTCTGACTACACACTCTTCACCATTCCTTCAGTCTAGCTATAAACCAGCCGTGAGATCGGGACTGAGAAGCGTGGATTAATTCTGATGTAAACCAGTGAAGAAAGCAACCCGTGCCAGTGCTTAGGTGCTTACATTACTCACCTTATCCTGCAGGTCTACTGTGGCTCCATGTTGTAATAACTTGTCCACCACCTCCACATGTCCCTCCTGAGATGCAGCCATCAGTGAACTCCACCCATTCTGAGATGACATAGGACAATACAATGACATGTTCATTCACAAGTTTCCTGCACAGAATGAAAAGCACTAAGTGCAAAACCCTCGGCGAAGTAGCTCACAGAGAATCTGACACGGGCTTAGCTACAGTAGTAGATAGCACGCGAGAGTCGATACACGCCATTCGTTGTGACTTCTTGTGCCTTCAAGATAGACAGAGCCAAGCGGACCCGGTCGAGGTAAGCCTGTGCTAAATATAAGCGCATGCGCATTATCCGCCAGCGATAAAATGGCGACTACCGGCATTAGCCATACAATGCTGGAAGCGCTCTAGCTTTGCAACGGAGCATTTTCAGAGAAAACCCCACAAAGTTTCTGACCTTCATTGCCCGTTGAGTAGGTCGTATCGTTTGTGAGACGATCAAACACTCGAGAAGTGAAATGTAGAGTAACAGACAGACAGACACACAAAACGACTACAGTAACCCTCGCTGCGCATGCGCGCCGATGGTTAATAATAGGCAGAGCCAATCTACAGTACATGCAAAAAAGTTCCCACTACGCCGCCGTAGTACGGTGATACCGTAACAAAATGTTCTACGGTGTTTCTATGGCGGATCTATGGTCGACCGTAGAGCACCATAGCTGCGGTACGCTGCGAGGGTATGGCCCACCGTAGTAAAGCAAACGGTGGCAGCTAAAGGCATAGCAAGCAACGAGCGTTGTATCTAAAGCTGAGAGTAAGCTAAGAACACTAGCGTTGTAGCGCAGTTGTGTCTAGCAAGGCTACCGCTGCTTGCTATCGCTTCTCGTTCTCCGTTGCGCCCGCTGAGCGTGCGACCGCGCCCACTAAACCACGTGCCTCGCCGTCAGCACACTGTCGCTGTGTGAACGCCGTGTGGATCTCCTGGCTGTACAGCTAGCTAACGCTGCATGGGGCAACGCTGCTGGTAGACTACTGTATCTGGGTGTTAGTAAACTACGGGCGTACTGTGCCGTAGCAGGTCTACGGCTTCCACCGTAGTACGGCGTTGCTACGCTGTAGCAGCAGCGTAGCAAGACCGTAGTTCTACTACAGTGTGACCGTACTACGGTACGGTAGTGGGAACCTTTTTTTGCCGTGTACTGTACATGCACTAGGGCTGAGGAAATTATGCTGAAATATTTGAATTTTATTCTACTCCTGGATTCTTCGATTATGTGCTATTTTTACAAAATTATGCTTGAAATTTTGAACACAGTATATCCAGCATAAGTGACGTATGTATATACGTCGTCAATTAGTCACGCTTAGGAATGTCAATTAGTCACCAAAAGGATGTAACTTCTGTCATTCGTAGGAAGTCTAGCTTCCGCCGTGCGCGCAGATTCGTAGGAAGTCTGGCTTCGCGCGCAGTCAGTAGAGCGCGCGCACGAGCGGCCACTAGCGAGGCAAAATATGCACGTGCGCATTCCTAGTATAGAAATTATTCCTGGAATATTCTCGGATTCGAGCAGCCCCAAAAAATTCCCAAATTATGCCCGGCATAATTTCCACACCCCTAACATGCACACAAGATAGTGGTCCCCATTTTACCGCATGGTAGAGTCAAAATGTATTTTCAGCTCTTAGTTGGCTTGTATAGATGTGGTCAGAAAATGTGGTGTATATGTTTTTATGTTAGTCCCAGTACAGTAATGTACATGTCATCTGGTAGCTATTGTCTCTCAGGATGAGTGAAAGTATATACACAAGCATAATTGTATGTAATTAGGAAGGCCTAGTGAGTCATTTTTATGCAGATCACGTAGGATTAAAAATGTGACAATGTGTAAGGTGGCTTTGATCGATACACAGAGCAAGCAGAGGTAAGCCTGTGCTAATTAGCATATTGGCTTGTTCACTTGGTTTTCACGCCATAACTTTAGACAGACAGACAGTAGTTTTATCAAAATTGCCTTTTTAAAATTAGACGCGCCGAGGGTTAATTAGCACAGGCTTACCATGACCTGTCGACCGTGTCGCTTGCTCTTTGTATCTCGAAGGCACAAGAAGTCAAAATGATGGGTGTGTATCGACTCTCGCATGCATCTACTGCCGTAACTAGCCCGTGTCAGACTCTCTGCCAGCTACTAGCGTGAGACCGCAAGTAAACGCATACCAATAGCCCCAGCCCATCATTAGATGTACCGTGTATGTGCAGTTCGGTTGTACTTTAGTGCTTTTCATTAACCCTCGGCGTGCATGCGCAGCGAGGGTTACAGTAGTCGTTCTGTCTGTCTGTCTGTGTGTGTGTCGACGCTTATTCTGATTGCACTACAGGCTACGAGGCGGACCGTTAGCGCTACCAGCGGATTCAGAACTACGGGAGCCTTAGGTGATTTTCCTGAACGACTTCGTTCGAGAGATGTGCCGTGAAAACAAGCGAAAAAGCCAATATGCATAATCGCACTGGGCTTACGGCGACCTGATCCGCTCGCTCTGTGTAACTTGGGGGGCTCAGGAAGTCACAACCAATGGCATGTCATGCTATCTACTACTGTAGCTAGCCCGTATCTGACTCTCCGCGGGCTACTAGTGGAAGACCACGAGTAAATGCAAAATAGCCGGCACAGCCCATCAATTAGCAATATCGCGCATGCGCAGTTCGCCGAGGGTTTGCACTTTAGTGCTTTTCATTTTTACAGGTAACACTACACAAATGGATGCATAAAATGGTAGTAATTCCTCTTTTTGCCAGGTCTACTGTGGCAAAAAACACAGTATCCATGATAGGCCAATCTGGCTTCAGTTGGTTTCACATGCAGTACCTTTACGAATTCGCCAAATTTCAAATAATCCCAGAGTAGTCAAGCAATGAAGCCCACATGTTTCTATTGTCCACCAAAACGTGTTTAGATTCAGTATCCATGATAAGCAATCTGAATCGTAGTTTTATCATGTAGGTGGCTTTATAGAGAGTATTATACTAACATGATACCATGCTACTGAAATCGTACTTTGCATTGAGTAGACATGATTAACCTTGCTCATGTGGTCACTTAAATTTACACATTATTTTCACAGTGTTTTGCATTTATATATACCTTTTCGTTTTCAGATCTACTGTGGCTCCATGTTGTAATAACTTGTCCACCACCTCCACATGTCCATTCAGAGATGCAGTCATCAGTGAACTCCACCCGTCCTGCCATGACACACAGAGTAATAGGTAATGAATTTGGCAAAAAAACAGTTTAGATTCAGTATCCATGATAAGCCAATCTGAATCGTAGTTTTATCATCTATGTAGGTGGTTTTATAGAGAGTAATATACTAACATGATTACATATCATGCCATGCTAAACCAGATGCTGAAATCGTACTTTTGCATTGAGTATATAGACATGATTAACCTTTCTCATGTGGTCACTCAAATTTACACATTATTTTCAAAGTGTTTTGCAATTGATATATACCTTTTCTTTCAGATCTACTGTGGCTCCATGTTGTAATAACTTGTCCACCACCTCCACATGTCCATTCAGAGATGCAGTCATCAGTGAACTCCACCCGTCCTGACGTGACACACAGAGTAGTAGGTAACGAATTTGGCAAAAATCGGTCAGTATCCATGATAAGCCAATCTGGTTTCAGTTGGTTTTCACGCCATAAGTCTGGAATGCAGTACTTTTACGAAATTCGCCAAATTAAAATTATGCCAGTGTAGTCAAGCAATGAAGCCACATGTTTCTATGCTATTTTGAAAATCATAGATGCTACATGTATATGTAACTGATAAAACGGAATGCAATCTGCTGTGTTGCTGATCGCGCACCTGACCTAGTCGACAGACTTTTTCAGAGAGCTCATAGTATGAAGTATGCATGTTCCCTTCACCTCACTGTTCTGAGATACGTTTGCATACGCGTTTGATTGTATTGAGTACGCTGTACATATAGTGTGTGTACCTCTGTTTGCAGGTCTACTGTGGCTCCATGTTGTAATAACTTGTCCACCACCTCCACATGTCCATTCTGAGATGCAGCATACAGTGAACTCCACCCGTCCTGACGTGACACACAGAGTAGTAGGTAATGAATTTGGCAAAAACGGTTTAGATTCAGTATCCATGATAAGCCAATCTGAATCGTAGTTTTATCATCTCTGTAGGTGGTTTTATAGAGAGTAATATACTAACATGATACATATCATGCCATGCTAAACCTGACGCTGAAATCGTACTTTTGCATTGAGTAGACATGATTAACCTTTCTCATGTGGTCACTTAAATTTACACATTATTTTCAACAGTGTTTTGCAATTGATATATACCTTTTCTTTAAGATCTACTGTGGCTCCATGTTGTAATAACTTGTCCACCACCTCCACATGTCCATTCTGAGATGCAGTCATCAGTGAACTCCACCCGTCCTGACGTGACACACAGAGTAGTAGGTAACGAATTTGGCAAAAAAACGGTTTTGATTCAGTATCCATGATAAGCCAATCTGGTTTCAGTTGGTTTTCACGCCATAAGTCTGGAACGCAGTACTTTTACGAAATTCGCCAAATTGAAAATAATGCCAGTAGTCAAGCAATGAAGCCACATGTTTCTATGCTATTTTGAAAATGATATGTAAAACGGAATGCAATCTGCTGTGTTGCTGATCGCGCACCTGACCTAGTCGACAGACTTTTTCAGAGAGCTCATAGTATGAAGTATGCATGTTCCCTTCACCTCACTGTTCTGAGATTACGTTTTGCATACGCGTTTGATTGTATTGCGTACTGTACATATAGTGTGTGTACCTCTTTTGCAGGTCTACTGTGGCTCCATGTTGTAATAACTTGTCCACCACCTCCACATGTCCATTCTGAGATGCAGCCATCAGTGAACTCCACCCGTCCTGACGTGACACACAGAGTAGTAGGTAATGAATTTGGCAAAAAAACGGTTTAGATTCAGTATCCATGATAAGCCAATCTGAATCGTAGTTTTATCATCTATGTAGGTGGTTTTATAGAGAGTAATATACTAACATGATTACATATCATGCCATGCTAAACCTGACGCTGAAATCGTACTTTTGCATTGAGTATAGACATGATTAACCTTTCTCATGTGGTCACTCAAATTTACACATTATTTTCAACAGTGTTTTGCAATTGATATATACCTTTTCTTTCAGATCTACTGTGGCTCCATGTTGTAATAACTTGTCCACCACCTCCACATGTCCATTCTGAGATGCAGTCATCAGTGAACTCCGCCCGTCCTGACGTGACACACAGAGTAGTAGGTAATGAATTTGGCAAAAAACGGTTTAGATTCAGTATCCATGATAAGCCAATCTGAATCGTAGTTTTATCATCTAGGTGGTTTTATAGAGAGTATTATACTAACATGATACCATGCTACCGAAATCGTACTTTTGCATTGAGTAGACATGATTAACCTTTCTCATGTGGTCACTTAAATTTACACATTATTTTCAACAGTGTTTTGCAATTGATATATACCTTTTCTTTAAGATCTACTGTGGCTCCATGTTGTAATAACTTGTCCACCACCTCCACATGTCCATTCTGAGATGCAGTCATCAGTGAACTCCACCCATCCTGACGTGACACACAGAGTAGTAGGTAATGAATTTGGCAAAAAACAGTTTAGATTCAGTATCCATGATAAGCCAATCTGATTCGTAGTTTTATCATCTAGGTGGTTTATAGAGAATATTATACTAACATCATTACATATCATGCCATGCTAAACTGCTGAAATCATACTTTTGCATTGAGTAGACATGATTAACCTTTCTCATGTGGTCACTTACATTTACACATTATTTTCAACAGTGTTTGCAATTGATATATACCTTTCTTTTTGCAGATCTACTGTGGCTCCATGTTGTAATAACTTGTCCACCACCTCCACATGTCCTTTCTGAGATGCAGCATACAGTGAACTCCACCCGTCCTGACGTGACACACAGAGTAGTAGGTAATGAATTTGGCAAAAAAACGGTTTAGATTCAGTATCCATGATAAGCCAATCTGAATCGTAGTTTTATCATCTAGGTGGTTATATAGAGAGTATTATACTAACATGATTACATATCATGCCATGCTAAACCTGACGCTGAAATCGTACTTTTGCATTGAGTATTTAGACATGATTAACCTTTCTCATGTGGCCACTTAAATTTACACATTATTTTCAACAGTGTTTTGCAATTGATATATACCTTTTCTTTAAGATCTACTGTGGCTCCATGTTGTAATAACTTGTCCACCACCTCCACATGTCCATTCAGAGATGCAGTCATCAGTGAACTCCGCCCGTCCTGACGTGACACACAGAGTAGTAGGTAATGAATTTGGCAAAAAACGGTTTAGATTCAGTATCCATGATAAGCCAATCTGAATCGTAGTTTTATCATCTAGGTGGTTTTATAGAGAGTATTATACTAACATGATTACATATCATGCCATGCTACCTGACGTGAAATCATACTTTTGCATTGAGTAGACATGATTAACCTTTCTCATGTGGTCACTTAAATTTACACATTATTTTCAACAGTGTTTTGCAATTGATATATACCTTTTCTTTAAGATCTACTGTGGCTCCATGTTGTAATAACTTGTCCACCACCTCCACATGTCCTTTCTGAGATGCAGCATACAGTGAACTCCACCCTTCTGACGTGACACACAGAGTAGTAGGTAACGAATTTGGCAAAAAAACGTTTAGATTCAGTATCCATGATAAGCCAATCTGAATCGTAGTTTATCATCTAGGTGGTGGTTTTATAGAGAGTATTATACTAACATGATTACATATCATGCCATGCTAAACCGACTGAAATCGTACTTTTGCATTGAGTATGACATGATTAACCTTTCTCATGTGGTCACTTAAATTTACACATTATTTTCAACAGTGTTTTGCAATTGATATAAATTATCCTTTGTTTAAGATCTACTGTGGCTCCATGTTGTAATAACTTGTCCACCACCTCCACATGTCCATTCTGAGATGCAGCATCAGTGAACTCCGCCATCCTGACGTGACACACAGAGTAGTAGGTATGAATTTGGCAAAAAACGTTTAGATTCAGGATCCATGATAAGGCCAATCTAATCGTAGTTTATAATCTCCAGGTGGTTATATAGAGAGTATCATACTCTAACATGATCCATGTATGCCATGCTAAACCTGCAGCTGAAAATCGTACTTTTGGTGGCAATTGCGTAGACATGATTAACCTTGTCTCTGTGTCTACTAAAGGTACCACACTATTCCAACGGTTTTGCAATGATATATACCTCTCTAAGAAGTCTAGCATGTGGCTCCATGTTGTAATAAACTTGTCCAGACCACCTCTCACAGGTCCATTCAGAGAGGCTAGTTCATCAGTGAACTCCGCCCATCTGACGTGGACACACAGCGTAGTACGGTAACGAATACAATTTGGCAAAAAGTCGGTTTTATTCAGTATCCATGATAGCCGATCTGGGTTTCAGTTGGGTTTCACGCCATAAGTCTGGACTGCGTACTTTTAATTTAAATGAAGAACGATAATCTCCTCTCCATTCACAAGTTTTCTAATACCCTCCTGTTGCCATTGCATTGTAATGAGAGAGAGAATTAACGACCGATAAATAGTATAGTAAGTTGCCAGTGAAGCAGTGAGGGGATTGAGGTGTGACCATCATACACCAGTCACCAGTGGGGGATACGAGAAAGGAGCTGGTGAGGCTGTGTATGGTGTTGTACTGTGCTCTTGTGAGGGTAGAACCCTCCAATTGAGCAGTGACGAGGTGGCTATCTGGAGGAGGAGGAGAGTGGCTGGGTACTTGACTCTCCAGAGATCATGGACTTCATCTTCCTCTTGTTGGTGGGAGACTGCCTCACCCTTCAGGAGACTCTGGAACTCTGTAGAAAAGATTAAGCAATAGTAACAATTCTCAAAAGGAGATACTTACTGTTAAGAAGTTTTCCTGCAATATGCCGTGCCCAGCACAGTTCAAGGCTTCACACAAAGTAGGGAGTCTTCCAGCCAATTACGTCATAATCCATAATTGCTTGAACTATAAACCTCCCTTTCTCTACTGGACTGGTCTCCTCGCAAACTTCTGCAGCCTGTATTTGAGTAAGCAGCCTTCGCTGCAGCAGGTATGGCACAACTTCATCTGCATTTGGGGACATCTCCTCCAGCAAGAGGCTAATGTGTGACGCTATAGCTTGAAGTTGTAGTCGAATCACCTTGTGCTCATTATGCATGGCTGAGGAATAAATATCTATGGTAAATGCACATAGTTGCATTATAAGACCCATACCAAAAGTGAGTCGTAGACTATGAATCCATCAATGGTGAGAGTGGTGACGTGATGCTCCATCATGCTCTGACTGCTGGGCTTGACAGAGTTCTGGATGTAGGTCACCAGAGAACGAGGAACCCGCCATGTCACCTCCACACACCCTTTAGCCACTTTTACGAGATTGAGGGAGAACTCATACAAGGACAGCTCCCGGCAGACTTGAATGCGAAACTTCTCAACATCTTCCAGTGTAGCGGTTCTCCAGTCATTTGGTGCTTGCTAACCAGATTTCTTTATCTAGTATTATGAAAGATGTATTCTTAGGCTAGAACGTAAACCTGGCACCGGTAGGATTGGCACAAGAACCTGATCAATCTACGTATCACTTACGGAATGTCAAAATTATGGGGTAACCTATACGCACCGTGCTGTACCCATGTAGGTATTATATTATACACTCAACCCATATGCTCTGGCTAATGTAGTCATCATAAGGAGCACAGTCCCAATGAGCCTGGCTACAAGGGGAAAATCCCAAATTCTTGTGTGTAGATTCACCCCACACACTCATCATAGCTATTACTCTCTTCGATAATTATGCCACATCACCGGGTGCATTCCCAGTTACTATACTGTCATACCTACCAACCTGCAGATGAACCTCTTCTTGAGAAATGTGTCAAATTTGCTTGATTAAACCTCGCCTGCGCGCATGCGCAGCGAGGTCGGTCACTCTGTATCTAGCTAGCTGTGTGTATGTGTGCGTGTGTCCGTCCGTCCGTCCGTCTGTCCACCGTTTTTCTCTGTAACCGCGGCAACTCTGACGTGAAACGTGGACATATTATCAGTAGAGACATGCATGGTAAAATAAGATTCTGGAGCGGAGAAGCCGGGGAAGCTGGGGAAACGGACGGCTGCCGAGGTGAGTGTGCGTCAAATAGAGATCGCGGACGATCGCTGTACTTCGATGCTAGATGCTTTGCGCGTATACTTAGATGCTAGATGCTTTGCTGGTCTGCCAGTATTGATGGTACAGTTGAGTAGGAGCGAGATTGCCGGTGAAGTGAGAGCCAGAGCGCGAATCTGTTCAGTGAAGGAGTCACTGAGGTATAACCATTGACTGCTGAATGTAGGCTCTAATAACTACTATGGAGTTTCCATAATCACCAGGGCGAGGGTTATGCACTTTCAAGTGCCCTTGATTTGGAGGATTTTGCTTGAAAATGCTGTGTGTCCATTCAAAATGTATTGGCATGGTGCATCACAGGTTAGCACAAAAAAGAGGGATATGGTAATTTTGTGGTGGGATATGCGGTATTTTGCTGATTTATCTAGCAAAAAGCTGGATGGTGGTAGGTATATATGTAGTGGAGATATATGTCATAGTGTTAGCCCAATAACATGAACCGACCACGTACATTATTTCATCTGTTAATCCTGCTTCTTTGATATCAACCTTTGCTTCCCTGAGGAACCTTTTGTGCTCTTTTTTGAGATTAGACGTAAGACAGAGGAGGGAAAAACGCAAATTCTCAACGGCGACGTTCTTCACCATTTCTTTAGCAGTACAAACCGATAAGTCTTTCTGCAACTTGTCAATCTTTCATTTTGTCATTTTTTATACACTTCTTGGTCACAATGGTAAAATGAAAAGCACTAAATACCCTTGTTAACCCTCAGCGCACACGTGCAGCGAGGGTTACAATACTTGGTGTCTGTCTGTTTATACCACGTTTTCTGCCACCACGTGCAACAAACCGTCCAAAAAACGACACCAACGGGTTCGGCGCTACACTGGCTTCATTTTAAAATGGCGATTTGCGTAAAGTCTAAAGTTATGGCGTGAAAAGCAAGTGAGCAAGCCAATATGCTAATTAGCACAGGCTTACCTCGACCGGGTCCGCTCTTTGAAGGCACAAGAAGTCACAACGAAGAGCGTGTATCGTATATAGTACGAAAGAATTAATTCTTAGGCTAGAACGTAAACCTGGCACCGGTAGGATTGGTACAAGAACCTTCCGTTTATCCATCTATCACTTACGGAATGTCAAAATTATGGGGTAAACCTATACGCAGTCTTGCTGTATCCATTCATTATTTGTAGGTGTAATATTAATTATACACTCAACCATATTGCACACTGGCCAATGGGGATCACTCATTGACTGTCTTCATAAGGAGCCACAAGTCCCAATACTTTAGCCTGGCTACAAGGGGGAAATCCCAAATTCTTGTGTGTAGATTCACCGCACACTCTAATTATGCCACATCCCCAACAATACATTCCCAGTTACTATGCTGTGTGTACTATGTTGTGTTGAACCTTGGACTCCTCCACTAATAGATGAGGTTTTAGCCACACCTGCTTCCCTTTGCTCTGCAGGTAGTGCCACAACTGCATGACGAATAGATATTGATGTAAAACACATGAATAAGTATTATCTATACACACCAATTGGTAACTTCGCTGTGAGTTTGTTGGCAACACTGGGCATATCAACAGTAGGATGATTAAGAGCATCGTAGAGATCTCTCCAGGTGCATGGCTCCATCCTCTTCAACCTGGTCTTGATCATGAGGTTGAACTTGTCATCCAGACCAAACCCTGGCTCAGAATTGATGCAATCGAGATCAAAGACCCCCAGTTTGAGTCGGGTCCCAGTGTTGTGCCATTTTGATCTCGCCTCCCACAGAGCCTCTTGCACTTCGGCAAAGTCATCAATACCCAACTGGAAGAATATTCGGTGGTAGTATAGTAGCAGCTAGGTATGAACATGCCCCGCCCTCAAACGTTACAGTTGTAAAAGGCATCTAAAAGGGTTGTTTCCGTGATGACCAACACCCTCCTACCTGATCAGACATGGTCAAGATAACCGACGTCGATGCTACTGGCAGTCTTCGTGATCCCAGCGGAGTAGAAGCTTCCTCTGTGTGTATGGATGGGTGGGACTGTGCACTGTCAGCAGCGCGTCAAATAAACAAAACTATGCGCGTGCGCGCGCTGAAAGCACTTGTGGGGGGGGCTCAACCCGGACTATCAGTCTATCGCTCCAGTTGGTTCAACATACTGCGCCTTATGCACAAGGCGTTAAAATGTAGGATAAGAGTGTAGGATTCAGCAGGTGCCATGCATTGGAAGAGGATATGGATCGATGCACAGTATACAAAAATCATGTGTGAAAATGATGTTTAAAATATGCTGTAGGGACTTTGAGGGCCACATCTTTGTCGCTGTCATACAGTGATAATAATGGGACATGATCCATCTGAGCATGGAACCTTTTGACCACTTCGTCCACTGTTTCTTTCATCAGAGAAGTGTCAGGGTGCTGTATGAAAAGACAATAATGTATATATTTTGAACATATCTAACATCATAAACCTAATACAGACACACGTGACCATCTTGCTGATCAAACTTACCCGTTGCCACAAGTTTAGCATTGCACGTAAACTAACCTCTGTGATATGAGCTGTAGCTTGTGGCTCCATTAGTTCAATTACGGCACACAAATCCCAAAATTCATTGGCTGATGCCACATCAGATGCTGTGATGCCTTCCTGCAATTATGAAAATCTCGAAAT